GAGACTGAAAGAGTAGCGGTTGTCARGGGCAGTGTGGAGGATGGTAGTAAAAAGGGGAAAGTGGAGTGACTGACAGGCTACAGAGTGTCCTGGGMTGATGAAAAACTTGGAATTACAGAGAGGTTGTGTTTGCACATTTTGAAACCATGAAATGTCACTGAAATTGTACACATTTTTTCTTTTTTGTTCTAATTAGTTATACATGACAACAGAATGCACATATTACATAAATGGAGTATAACTTCTCATTCTTCTGATTTACATGATGTAAAATCTCACTGGTCATGTAGACCTATATGCACATAGGGTAATAATGTCTGGTTCATTCTACTATCCTTCCTAGTGCTATACCTGCCCCCTCCCTGCACTCCACTCTTCCTTATACAAAATAACTCTGTTTTTTCCTAGCTCCCCCTGATACACACTTATTGTGAAATATCATCTACATATCAGAGAAAACATTCTGGTTTTGGTCTTTTAGGATTGGCTTATTTCACTTAGCTTGATATTCTCCAGCTCCACCCATTTACCAGCAAATGCCATCATTCCATTCTTCTTGAAGGCTGAGTAATATTCTACTGGATATGTATACCACATTTTCTTTATCCATTCATCTGTTGAAGGACATTTAGGCTGGTTACATACTTTAGCTATTGTTAGTTGAGCTGCTATAGACACTGATGTGGCTGCATCACTGTACTATTCTGATTTTAAGCCCTTTGGGTATAAACCAAGGAGGGGGATAGCCAGGTCAAATGGTGATTCCATTTTAAGTTTTCTGAGGAATCTCCATACCACTTTCTATAATGGTTGCACCTGTTTGCAGTCCTACCAGTAATGTATGAGTGTACCTTTTTCCCCACATCCTCTCCAACATTCATTGTTGCTTGTAATGTGCAGATTGAAATTGTACATGTTGAAGCAATTAATTGTATATTATATGAATTTTACCTCAATATTTATTTATTTTTCTGCAGTGCTGGGAATCAAAGTCAGGGCTTCACACATGCTAGACAAGCACTTTACCACTCAGCTATACCTCCAGGACCAATCCCAAATAGTTTTTAAATAGACCATACACAATGCTTAGCATAATTTCTTTTTAATTTAAAAAATGAAGATATTACATGATAAAATAGATCACAGAAGACATTAAAGGTAATTATCAATGCATGATAAGAAATCAGCTAATTTTAATTCATTTGCTTAAGTTATTGTATAAATCTTACAACATTAAGAATTAAATGCATATTAATTTTTAACAACTAAGAAAAAGAAACTATAGAAATATTAACTGGTTTGTTTTCTTTCAGTACTAGGGATTGAACTCAGGGCCTTGCATTTGCACAGACTCCACCATTGAGCTACATCTCTAGCCCTGTTTATTTTGAGACAGAGTCTCACTAAGTTGCCCAGGCTGTCCTCAATACTTGTAATCCTCCTGCCTCAGCTCCCATGTGCCTGAGAATAATAGATTTTTTTAAAAGCATTAAGAGAATGTTTAAGCTGTAGGGTTGAGGATAAAAGGAAATTGCATTGCATGTACAATATTGTCCCAAGTACAATACACTGYTTAACTTTAAACATCTGTGTGGGAGACAGGCAAACTTGTTACTTTTGCTTTCTATTTTCTACATTTTCTTAATGATACATAATAACCACAATTAGACAAGTAATTTATTTTTTAAATGCTTGCTGTTGGGTACATTAAGTTTCTTTTAAAAGCAAAACTTTAATAAATGTAGATGATTTGCTGTTAATTAGGAGGACGCCTATACTGGAATTACTCATTTTGAAACTTAATGTTCGCCTAGAAAGATTGTAAAATACAGAGAACACAAAGATGGAAACTTAAATCACCAGAATCTAACAATTYCGAGAYATAGTTGACTTTTGAACAACATAGGTTTGAAGTGGATAGGTCAGCTTGTATGTGGATTTTGGCGGTCAGGTGGATTTGTGAAAATTTTGAAAAAGAAAAAGAAAAAGGAACCTCATAGCCTAGAATATTGAAAAAAAAAATTTTTAAGGGTATGTCATAAATGCATAAAATATATGTATGTAAGACTCTATTTTACCATTTGCTACCATTCAGTATACATGCATCTATTATAAAAGTTAAAACTTATCAAAACTCACACAAACTCAGATCATACACAATGCCACTCAGTGGAGAGAAAGGCAAAAAAAAAAAAAAAGTGAAGAAGCTGCATTAAATCTTGACTGCATGAATGAACTGCAGCACATCTTCATCCACTGCAGTAATTTCATTGCCATTTCCAGTTACTGTTGCTGTGAGCTCCCGTGTTGTGACTCTTTAAAAGCCCCTGTGATGCTGATCATCACCAGGTGAGCTCCACACTTTCAAAGGTGGACAGTAATTAGTTGTTCTTATAAAAGACCTGAGAATGGGCTCAGCTAGAAGCAATCCTTCACTTCCAGTGGAGTATGAACATGGGCATTACCAGTGTCTACTGTGAGACTTCTGTCAAGAGCTTCCCTCTCTGGCCAAATATACGGAGGACTAAAAGGACAATTATTGTCATTTGGCTGCCCAGCATGCTTTCTCATGTCACATTGTATTAGTGACCTGACTATCTTTTAGGATACCAGCCCTCTTTCATCCTTAGTTCAATTGGTTTGGGTGGAACCTACCTCAGTCTACACTGAGAAGTAGGAGTAACCTGGCTGAGGTCAATCAGAGGATTCAACTCTTTGAGCCTCAGCAACTTGTTAATTTAGGCCAGTGAATGTTCAGTGTGAGAATTTTACTTGAAACATTGAGATGAGAGGTGGACTCTATCACACTGAGTTTTGATACTTAAGTGAGAGATGTATAAAATCTTCCTGGGAAGAAGCCATGATGACGAATGGTTTGCCAGGTAGGATTAGAGGGTGGTAGATGTGCCTTGTTACTTCCTGTCCATCACTCTGGTCATGACCTTCCCCACCCAAACTGTGCCCTGATCATTTTCTACCAGAGGGTCAGCTCTCCAAGGGAAGGAGACAAATCTCCAACATGCTGGTCCTAGCACAAGAGATGGAGGCACATCTGCTAAACACATGTCTGCTACAGAAATTACCTTAATGAGCTTAGCAGCAGGGCATGGAGGCCATGGATGGTTGTATCACTGGGAACCCAGAATTCTTCACTGGCTAACACCACATCCTACAGTCTCCACCTTATGCTCTTGGGTTCTCATTCTGAGCTGGAACAGGTGGTGCACTGTGAATCATCAGTACTGGGTACTGATGTGGTCACTGACTGTTCTCCCACAACCACTCAGAAGACGTCATCAGACCAGGCAGTGGGGGTAGTAAGCTCTCATATAAAGCCCTCTATGATGAAATGCCTTAAAAACAGACAGAAACACAAGATCAAGGAACCCACTCCACCTTCTTCTGCCCCTGGGGACTAAAAGAAATCAAGAACGAAGCTCCACAAGCCCTTCTAAGAAGATGCATTTGCTCCTGCTCCTGTTGGCCTTCTTTCTGCCTCCCAAGGCACAGGCAGGTGAGTGACCATTCCCTCCCTCAGAGGTCCAACCCTAACCCACAGGGGGCACAGAACTCCTGTATCCCTTCTGCACACCCCCTGATACAGCCTTCTACCCAGAGCCTTCTGAATCCCAGTTCCAGCCCCACTGCAGAACCCCAAGAGAGACACTGGGTAAGCTAGCAGTAGGAACATAAGGGGCAGAAGTCTTTTTGGGAGAAGAGCCAGTGGATTCAGTCCCCTGCCTAGATACCATTCTGGTCATCTGGAAAGTGGGGCTTGGCTATAAGTGCACCCCAGAGGGTGGAAGGGAGGAAATGTTCAATTCTCCTGGAAAGGGGCAAAGTGGGTCTGGCACCTGTGTCTGGGGTGAGACAGGTGCACCCTTGCCAACTGCTTAGCAGAGAACTCTAGAGCCCAGGTGACCCCAGAAATGCTGGAATCACAGTCCCCAGAAAACTTCCTTTCCTCAGTCCCAAGCCACTCCATCCCTTTCTCCAACTCTGTTTCTCTTCCCAGACCTCTGGTGACTCCTTGTTTTCTAGTAGGAGCCACTGTGGCAGACACTAACTTCTCTGCTTTCCTCAACCCCAGCAGCACTGCCCTACCAACCCTCACCCAGAGACAAACTGGAGCCATTCCTTTGTGCATCCCATCAACTACACGTCAGGYCTAGGAAATAGGACAGAACAACATCTAGAGTGAACTGAAATCCTGGCCATTAGCAAGCAGCCAGTGTCCTAGGCAGCACAGCACTCAGGAGGGCCTCAGAAATTTCTGGAAACAGAAGGCTCCTCTGGGATTTCATTGTCCCTAAAAATGTATGCTCAAGTCCACCTATGTAAGGAAGAAGAATTCGTAGACCAACACCTGCTTTCTTTACCTTTTTCAGAAAAGGAAGTTGAGGCCCTATCCCTCAGCCCCTGCCCAGACTCAGGTCATCCAAGGTTCCCAAATGCCCCACAGTTCTGGAGGCATGGAACAGACGCCCACCTGCTGGATTCAGTGGGTGCACACAAGTGAGGTGACTTTTTCTTCAGGGGAGATCATCGGGGGACAAGAGGCCAAGCCCCACTCCCKCCCCTACATGGCCTATCTTCAGTACTTGAGTCAGAATTCATTGCGCACTTGTGGTGGCTTCCTGATAAGAGAAGACTTTGTGCTGACAGCTGCTCACTGCTTAGGGAGGTGAGTAGCAGGAAACAACCCAGACCCTCCTGGAGACATTCCAGAGATATCCCTGACTCCTTCTCAATGTTAGCACAAAAGGACTGGGCTAGACACAAACTTCACAGATCAGCAAAAGCCTATATTCAGGAACAGAGTCACACCTCTGATGGACTCACTTTCCTGGTAGAAAATGAGCTACTGGCCAAAGTGAGAGCTTATGCTTACATAGGTTACCCTGAGAGGTGATTTTAATTAATAAGCGTATCAGTTTGGGCACTCAGGAATTTGAGATCTGTTATTACCTGGRCCAAGGGGAGGGTTCTGGGTCAGTGGTCAGTATTTAGGATTTATATTTATTGGGCCAGATGGAGGAACTGGGCTAGGATTTGTTTTGAGAAGGATCAATGTTTTACCCTCTTTCCAGAACCTGCCATTCCATGCTTGATAAAYATCTCCTCCCTGAGAAAGAATGTACTGGGAAGGGATCAATATATTGCCTTCATCCTCATTCTCATTTCCCAGGCCATACAATTTTGCAGTTTGTTGTTTTCCATATTCAGTACTCAGTAGACACACAGATMCCTGGGAGAATATGTACACAAGATAACTTCAGGGATGGAAAAGAGGATGGGAAAATTCTTAGGAGGGGTAGGCAGGCCGACTCCAGAGGCACTACTGAATAAGAAAGACYGGGGTGGCCAACCCTGCCATATAAAGAGCTAGGAGCATGCTTTGCCATGAAATGGAAACTAAAAAATTGCATGTGTTTTCCTGGGCATGATTGAATCCTGAGAACCCATGGTTCAGATATCAATGGCCTCAGAATTCTAACTACCTCAATGCTAAGAAGCAGAGGGCACTGTCACTCAGCCCAAGGCCTCCTGTCCTCTCTGCTCCTCCTCAGCTACAGCTCTACCCTGGCCCTGCTGTAGCCTGCTCTTCACAGCTCCTAGATGTATTCTTTATGACTCCACATCACCCACGACCACTGCACTCTCTATGCAGGCCAATGAACGTCACCCTGGGGGCACACAACATTGAAAAGCAGGAGAAGACGCAGCAGGTCATCCCAGTGAAAAGAACCATCCCCCATCCATATTATGACAATCAATACTTCTACAATGACATCATGTTATTGCAGGTATGTCCCCCTCCCAGCTGCCTCTGCCCTCCCTAGTACAGATGGTACCCTCCCACCATGACTCTGCCCCTTTACTCACTTCCATCCTGGCCATCATGGTGTCTAGGCCCAGAGGCCCTTGTCTGAACTGGACTCTTTTTCTTCTCCCCCCATAGCTAGAGAAAAAAGCCAAGTTGAATCCAGCTGTGAAGCTTATCAAGCTGCCCAGGGGCAAGGATAAGGTGAAGCCTGGGAAGGTGTGCCTTGTGGCTGGCTGGGGGAGAATGGCCCCAAAAGGCAAATACCCCAACACACTGCAGGAGGTGGAACTGACATTGCAGGAGGACCAGGTGTGCAAGAACCACTTCAGCAATTACAATAGTAACATAGAGATATGTGCAGGGGATCCAAAGAAGAAAAATGCTTCTTTTCAGGTGAGACTGAGTGTCTGTCTCTCTTGGCTCTGAGGAGAGGGGTGTTTGGGGGAAGATCGGGGGCCAGGAGACCAGGCAGCATGAGCCTCCCTCACCCAGTTGGCTGTCATTTCTCCCTGGAAAGAGAAGAAGGGAGCAGCTGGGAGTACCTRGGGCCTGCATTGAATGAAGCCTGCCTGGAAAGCTGAGCTTGCAAWGCTCCACACTGCCTCAGCTCACAGGCATTAGAGACCTGTGCACCTATGTGTGCAGTTGCTCTCACTAAGTGGCTCCTCAGCGCTGGCACCCACCCTGGTCCCTGGGCTCATCCTCCATGCTGGTGTCTGTGCCACTCACCTGCTTCCACAACCTTGAACAATGCAACAGTGGTCCCTCACACTTTCAAAGGGAGACAATCCCAGAACCTGGGGAGCAGGATAGAGGCTGACCCCAGGAGGRAGGTGAGGTAATAACAATATCCACAGTCAGAACATATCAGCTGAGGGCCCTTAGAGTCCCGCATAGTCCTCTGAATGCAGACTCTACAGGTCATCCTTGTCTGAGAGGGGCCTGAGATGGCAGGGAGTATCCAACTAGGAGGATACAGGCTCAGTCCTCCCTCTTCTCTCTTCACAGGGGGACTCCGGAGGCCCTCTTGTGTGTAACCATGTGGCCCAAGGAATTGTCTCTTATGGGAAAAAAGATGGGAAACCTCCAGGTGTCTATACCAAAGTCTCCAGATTCCTACAGTGGATAAAGGAAACCATGAAAAGCCACCAAGTACAGGAGACAGACTAACTCACAAACTAACCTCCTTTCCCAGAACTGAGTCTAGAATCACCCTGGAGGAGGTGCCCACAACTGAATAAATGTCCCTTAGCCATGTGGGAAAGATGGTCTCTTCTTTATTCACTGGCCTATATTCACAGGGTCTGTGTGCCAGGCAGCCTTGACACAGTTCTCCTATTTGCTGCTTTTCCCTCCTCTTTCTCCCCTCAACACCTGCTGAAATCCCACACAAAGCTGTGACCCAGCTCCTTCCCACCTACTCCAGTTGTCTCTGGGGCTTGCCCTTCTGCCAGTGTTGGAGCTGGGCACCACCAGGAGAAATTTTAGATGGCTCTTGTCCTGGGTCTCATGGTGAGTTTTCTACCTCCTTCCTTGTATGAGGGGACAGAGAGGAAGGGGAGAGCACCATGGGTCCTAGAGGCCAGGTAGGCACAGCTGAGGTCACTGCTGAAGGACATGGTCCTACCCCCTGGGCACAGGAAGGGCCCTCCTAAACAGGATATTTCTCTTCCCCAGGTTTATCCTTAAGAGGAACAGTCCTTGAATAGCCCCTCATTCTCACATGGAATTACATTCCTTCTCTGCCCTCCTCTGAGTTCAGGGTCCACCTTGACCTCCAACCTCATGGCTGCCCATTTTTCTCCATCCCTGCTCATATTCTATCAACTCCACTCCAGGCCACACTGATCTGGGCTGCTCCCTTACTCAAATCCCTCCACCTAGGACTCCCAGATCCCCTGGGGTTCCATCAGGCCTTTCCATTGGGGTGCCAGCCCAACTCATGCCCTGGCAGAGAGGGGACATCATAAAATGTCAGTGCTGGCATCGTGCAGGGTTCATGGAGGACCTGGCTGGCACAATCTCTCTCCAGAACACTTGGTCCTTCTTTCACTTGGGCACAGCTAAAGCAACCCTTCACTTTCAGCTTGATGTCCTCCTTTGTGCTCAGGGTCCACTGGCCACCTGATCACTCAGCAGCCTAAGCCTCTTTCAGCTTGTTCCTCTTGGTCACAGCTGGCCTGCAGCCTGAGACTCCCTGCTAGTCAGCTAGGCTTTATCAGTTGTGAAAGTTCCAGAAAAGAGTGTCTTTCTGCAGAAGGACTGTGAAACACAGCTTTTTCCATCAATCACACTCATTGAGCACTTCATAATGGCCAGAACGTGGGAATATACGTTAACACAGTAACACACCCAAGTGGAATGGACASTGTTGGAGACTTTCCAAATTTTCCTGCTCCACCCTCCCTATCAGTCCATAAGGCATAGACCTATGTGAGAAATCCATTAGAATTCAGAATTCATATCTTAGTTTTATTTCCAGTTAAAGGCAATATGAATATGATATTGCATGATGCTCTAGGACAAAGACTATGAAATTTGGAAGTKACTTTCATCATTTGGTTTGTGGATGTGAAGCTGCTGAACTATTCACCAGAGCTTCCTTCTTAGGAGAGAGGGCAACAAATAGGGAAGAAGATTACCAGGGCAACCTTACTTTCATTTGTTTTCAAAGTAGCAGATATAAATGCAAGTGTACAGATTCACACTGAAGGAGACACACACACACACACATGCAGTTGGACTGCTCAGAAACATAATCCCAGTCATTACTGCACCCCTGCCATACAGAACAACATGAATCAGGGAGACTCCTGGGGCCTGGGAAAATGGAAACATGGCTCTAATATTCAGGCCATCATGGTTACTGCTCCCATCCATGTCCCCAGTGCCACCTGGGAATGTCTTTGCTGGGAAGTTCCTTCTTGGATATGGTGTGTAACTTTTTGTTAAATAAAGATATGCCTATGTGKGGCTAACCCCACAGCCCTGGATCAGAGTCTGTCCATTAATGGRGCACTGGAAGTTTAGCACAAGTTCTAGCTCTAGATTAATGCCCCCTTGTCCCAGACACACACCACACTACATTCTTTTTAGACATGGAGAAAAATCTCTTCAGTTATGTAACTCGCAAAAGTATGCCCTTTTCCGTCCCTTTGTGTACAAATCATGCTGCCACACAATCTCATAATGATCTTCTATAAGGAAAGAGCAATGGATATCACACAGCTTTGCATTTGGGGCTGAAAAAAATTCCTGCATCTAAGGATGCTAGGAMCAGGCTCCTGTACTGGAAAAAAAAAGGAAAACACAGAAGAAAAAGCAAACAAAAAATAGTATTTAGAAAAGTGACTTGGTCATATGCCTACATATCCAATTTAGGAGTTGCATCTCCTTTGAGGAAAAGGTTCTGTGGTTTCAATAACTTTCAAAACTATTGTTGTAGGCCTTTAACCTCCTCAGGAAGAGGAAGAAGAAAGGAATGTCCAAGGGTAATGACTGACCAAAGGTATCACACAATGTGGGACAGACCTGGAAGATCCCCGCCCTACATGCCAGAAAGGGATCTATGTGTCTTCTAACACCCAGCCTAGGATGGCTTCCCAGCATCTCCAGACATGAGATGAGTTGCTTTCTGCTCAGAAACTGCCCTAGAGAGAAAGTCTCTGTGCTGAAACCACCCAGAGGCACAAATGAATGGACTCCRAGGCAGGTTAGCACCTTAAACAGGCTGACTCCTTCCCCTCTTCCTGGTCTGAGAAAGAACCCCCAGTCTTCCCCATTTGAAGGGAACCCCTTTCTTTATCTCACCCATTTTTCCCCATTGTCCCAGAAACTGAACACAATTAAGCAACAAATGTATCACTTATAGTAACTTTGAAATCTTTTTCATGTTTTTAGAAGTCTATCCATTCATGGTAAGCCACAGGTAAATTCTAGGGCATTTGAATACACACATATACATACACATAATACATTGGGAGCATATATATAAGCTCCAGATTATTAGTTACAACCTATTTTAATACACCCATGATGCTTTTGTTGAAATACTCACAGAACTGAACTTGGGACTCAATGGGTTAATCTCTAAGACAGGAAATGCTTGGACTCACCAAGACCCACTTCCCCATCCYTCCTTTCCTCCAAGCCCACTGGAAGTCAAATCCCAGCACGGCCAGGGAGAGAGCTGCAACATGGTCCCAGTAGGACACAGAACCAATGGATTGCAAGGTCTGCTCATGTGTTTGGGGATTGTGTGTTGGTATAATTCTGTTTCCCAGCCCAACACCATACTGCTGCCAGCACCAGTCTTGACTCAGCTACAGAACTTACAGGACTTCTTTGGTGTACTGTCTCTCACCCAACACTGCTTTTTACCAACAAACATATTTTACCATAAGAGAAGTGCAGAAGTAGGTTCAGGTGCCATATCACCCAGAAGCAAATAAAATTGTGAAAGAGTCCATGGAAGATAACAAGGACAGATGACAGACCACCACCTGTGAGATTGGGATGCTGCACTGGCTTTAAGCCAGCAGTAAAGGTATGCTTGTGTTTCCCCACAGGAAGAATACCTGGTTCCAGAAACAAAGAGGTGCTGGTAAGAGTTGCCCCTTTGACTATCACATGTAGTGGCTCACACTCAAGCAATTCTGCATCTATCTCCACAATCTTGGTCTTTGTTGGCCTAGAGGTCTTAATSCTTGAGAAATTAATCAACTGTAAAATAAGTGGATTCCTATGGTACCTGGGTGATTGGGACTGACTTCCAGGAGAAAGGGCATTCAAAATAAGTGAACATCAGTGAAAGACAATTCCAGCACAGAAATGGATACTGTTGAGAATCTTCAAGAATAGGGTTGAAGTCGCTATAGGTGAAGAATCCTACCAGGGAGGATATCTGAGGTAAGAGTCTTCCGAACAGCTTCTCAGAAATCACATAAGACCCCTTCTCATAATGGCTTTCCAGCCTTCTTGGCCATGGACCCTAAAAATTCTCCTTAGAGAACTCCCAAGAAAGGAAAAAATCTTGGGATTACCAGGCTCCCTGCTGACACAATCCAGCTGAGACCAACCTATT